ATCAACTGTACGCAATACACCCTGGCTACAATCGGTAAAATTCACACAAGTATCCGGTATCCTTCAGGATCCTTCAGGGGGCTGGCGTGACTTTATACATGCAGAAATTGTCCTCCCAGGTGTTTCCGGTTCGGACCCACACGCAAGTAGTAGTTATGCCACAGCCCCAAAAGTTGTTCATCCCAATCAAACTAGATACCAAGTCTGGAAGAGTATAGCGGACTTCCAAGTGTCCATCATTTTGCTCGCATTATTGAAGTATCAAGTCAAGGTACGCCACATCAGCATGTGGTGTGGTTGCTGCGCACCCATTCAGATGTTGTTTGCGAAGGCCTGGTGGTTGCAGCCTAGTGCCGTTTGGCAATGCTCCTTTATTTTAGTGGCTGGCATTGACAACATATGCAGCATACGTTAAGCATGAAACTTGAAACCAATCCAGATGCTGTATTTGTGACCAGGTCCTAGCGGCTATTTTGCAGTATTCAGCAGTTGATAACGAACCTTTGAGTCCTATGAGGGCTACAAACAGTACTCCCTACGTGCAGGATAACGCAGCATGCAGGGCGGAAAATGCGCTCGCCATCCAGCAAGAAGGAGCTGTCCAGATGAAGAAGCATTGTTTGCTTGTCCCAATTCAATATCGTTTTGAATTGGTATGCATGCGTGGGCCAATTTGAGTCGAGAACCTCTTATATAATGCAGGACATTCAGAAGTTTGTTGATGTATACCGAATAGATTTGGACGAGGTGGGAAGTCTTGAAAGATGTGAACGGCTTCAGGCATTGTCCGCGAAACATGCAGTTGACGTGCAAGAATCGCGGACTGCTGAACTGGCGTCAGGTGCTACTGCCTCTAGAGAAGTTCGTGAGCATGAATGCATCTTTTTCGCGCTTATACCCTCATGGAGCAATGGTCAGGGCATTCAACAGATTTCCAAAAAGTATATATGATGGAAATTTTAAGTATATATGATTGTTTCGGTTAAAACCATGGGAATAACCCTCCGTCGTTGAAGTGAGCGTGTCAAGACATGAAAAATATTGTTTGTTCTGTTAGTGTCTTATGCCCATTCAGCTGTGGCATCACGCCGAACGATGACACCTCCAGGATTTTTTTTACACGCGAGCTGAAGCCTCTGGCTCGCCCGATCCACAGTCCTCAGGAGCCTGTGGTTTTTGCGATGCATACTGCAGATCGGAGCAGCAAGAGATGCACATAGTTGCTCAGACATGTGTCAAAATCGATGCAAACATGCCCCGCGAGGATGCTGGAGTTTTTGTCAGCTGCGCAGACTGCAGGGTAATTATTTTCCAAACCCTAGAGGAAGCGACCAGAATATGGATCAAGGTGACGCAGCCAGCTGTTTTGCTTGTGGAATTGACTGTTTGAATTGAAAGGGAGTCCAGAAGCTCTTGAGATCTCTTGAGCTACTAAGATAGACCTTGTCCAATGAATGAAATAAGTTGCATATCCTTCGTTCTCAATGCATTTGGACATTTGACCAGGGCTTGAAGTTTTCCCTTGCGGAGCTGCTCGGAGATGCCGCAGCAAAGCCCTTCCTGCAAAAGCCAGGCCAACAAGTTCAGTGCAAAAGCCCTGCTGGAGCAGTTAAGTTTTTTTGCTTCTCTTTGCTTCTCTTTTGCTTGGAGTTGCCAGTCTGAATGCGATGGCCTCGAACCTAGAAGCGATGGCCTCCAACCTACTAGCGATGGCCTCCAACCTAGAAACCCTCCCTGCGTGCGGAGGTTGTTGCTCTGTCGCCGTGTGCCGCCTGGCGCCACAGGCAGTCAGATTACTGTAGATGGTTTCTGTTAATTTTTCATGTAAGAGCCTTGCGACTGAGCGTTCGTCCACCTGACCTGTCACGTTTTCTCGCCCGCAGACCGGGCCCGCTTGAGCTTAGTTCTTTGAGAAGAGGTGCTTTGTCCGGCCGCACCTTCACTGCCACAAGTTGGTAGCGGAGCTTACAGTAGATTCCTTGGACCTTTAGAGCATAGCATGCCGTTTCCTCCGTCGTTGCCCTGTGCTGCTGCTCAGATGCCTCGCCACCCGTGGAGACAGACTGAATGAAGTCTTGCACCAATGCAATAGCGAAGCGGTGTACGACGTCTACAAACCTACAAGACGCCAGATCGACACCGGAACCTGGCTCTATGTCCCCTTGGTGGAAGCCCTGAGCCAACTCCTCGTACAACCTCACCGTTCGGAACACCTGATCGTACTCGCAGGAGAAGATCCACCTCCAGGTGAACCTCCCCTTCAAAACAGGTTGGGACAAGCATCCAATGACTCCTCAGACGACTTCGATGACGGGGCCGGTCAAGGGAGTGAAGTACCGCCGTGGGGCACCACCGACCCGGCAATGGAAGTTCCAAGCCGATGGCATTCGCGCCTACGATAGGTACGAACGCACGTCCGCCTTGGGAACTCCAAGTGCACTACATGTCCGTGAAGGAGGCCGGTCTCGCCCTCTACGCCTCGTGGCAGGGCAGCACGTAGAGTTCTTGGACATGGACTTGGTTTACCACCGTGATGGAGCGCAGTACATCCTCGACCGCCTGAAGCCCGCCTTCAAGCAAAAGGAGGTCTATGTCAAGAGGCGACACTCCTATGAGAACATCTCCCGCTTCCACCAGGAGCCACTTCGGACCTTGCAATCGCTACCAGCGACGCGAAGCAGCCCTGAAATCCATCGGGGTGGATGTGAGCCTGACCTACGACACCGGGGCAGCCGTCTCCTGGATGTATAATAGGTCAAGACTGACCGCCGACCAGCGGCCCAGAAATGAGCTTCGAGGCCATCTCCTCACCCTTGCTCATGCAGTTCCCGGGTTACCGCCCTCCACTCTGCGGTGATCTACCGGGACGGTCAAGGCCACTTGGACAAGCGCCCGAACAAAGGTGGCAAGGGTATACAACCCAAAACCACTTCATCGTCGTCGAGTTCCTCTACCTCCTCTACTGGTTTCTGGACCTTTCGGAAAGGTCAAGGCAAGATGAATTGAGACACTCAATGAAGATGGGCCTCCAGATGGCCCTCAAGAGAGGACCCGGCGACTTTGAGGACCCAGCTGGAGGGAATGTGGAAGAGTGGGCGATGACGCCCATGCTGATGCCACAGGTGAGGACGATAGCGCGCCTCGCGACCATGATTTTTCTGAGTTAGCAGAAGTGCTGACCGCTACAACCCGCAAACTTGCGAGCATGACGCAGGGACGCAAGTTCCACAGCGCTCCCCCCAAAAAAGAACATCGAACAAAGGAAGAAGGAATCGCCTTGCGCCGCTTGTGGCGAGTATGGCCACTGGGTTGGAGATGAGTCCTGCAAGACCAAATCTATGTCTATGTGGCGTTCAACAACTCCTCCACAACACCAATGACTCCTCCCAGTTGCATCGGCAAGTCATTCTAGACACTGCTTGCCAAAAGTGGAAGGACTACGAGCTCGCCACCACCGATTACCAGACGACAAAGTCCAAGGCGGCTCCCAAAAGGACGACAGCAAACCCAAAGCTTGTCGAAGCAAAGCCTTGGCATCGACCGACATCGCGCCAAGGGAGGCCATGTGAAGACACCTCTGTTGGAGGAATGCCCTGGGAATACACCCGCTACTGCTGCAACGGCAACTTCATGACATGCCGCAAGTGCTACGGTCCTTGGCGATGGAACGAGGACACCGCCGCATGGAAGTCGGATGGACATTGCCCCAAACAATCGTAGCTGCGGCTGCAGCAATCGATCCTTGACGGCGCCGACCTCAGGGGCATCACGCAGAGCAACCCAGCGTGGACAAGGTCCTCAACAGCCGATCTTTCAGTACTTCCGCCACAGCCAGCAGTGACATCCTTGAGGCGCTGCAGTCCGGAGTTCGACGCGCAGTTGAAGGAGGGAGCGATCGAGGGTGGACCTGGCCAGGGGCGACGAGGACCTGCGGATCTTAGAGTGGGGCGACGGAAGTGGCTGCGAGGAGATAAAATGAAGTCGGCAAAGATGCTCGAACATCAACCTGAAGTACAAGTTCTCGAGCAGACCGCCGCCTACATCTCCAAGAAAAAAGTGGACCGCATGGAGCCCTACAGCGCCGCTGCTCGGCCGACAGACAGCCCTTCGACAAGATTGACGGCTATGACTTGAGCACCCGCAAACACCAAAACTATTTCCAAGATGCCATCGACAAGTTCAGTCCGCTTCTTCTCCTAATAGGCTTCCCATGCGCCCAGTGGAGCGTTACGTGTGAAAACGCCAACTACGCGTGGCGGCCACAGGAAACTTGAAGATCTACAGCAGCAACAACGTCCCACTTTGAAATGGACAGTGAAGCAATGTCACAAGCAGCTGAACACAATGAAAATCTTTACTTCCTGGAGAACGCCTATAAGAGTCGGCTCTGGCGAGAACCAGAGATCAAGGAGCTCCCCAGACACGCAGGTTGCCCTGTGCGACGCAGGTGCCTTCGGTGCCGTCGACTCCGACGGTTCCCTCATCCTCAAGACCTTACAAGATCCTCACCAACTCCGTGCAAACTGCAAAGGCAATCGATCACAAGTACCAGTACACCCATCTGGCTTTTATGGCCAGGTGCGTTCGCCCAGCTGCTGTCCACCAGGAACCTGGCCTTGTTGAAGGGGACCGGGAAGTACTGGTAGGTCAAGCCCAGTTCACCCGTCGTGTCCTTCACGATCTTGACGCATTCGTAAAGGGACCAATTGGTGGTGGTCTCAAGTCAAGGCCGCGCTTCATCGGGCCTGGTCTGGCCCCCAAGCCATTGCGGGCTTCCATCGCAGCTTCGGTACTCCTTCCGTTCGTCAGAAGTCAACTTGGCTTCTTCCTTAGAGCCGCTGCTTGGAGATCGTGCTGGTGTTGACCTCGTCATCGATGAAGGCCTTACAAGCCGTTCTCCTGGCAGAGGACCCACGGAAGATGATCGGTGTCTCTTCCGACAGCAGAATCTGTGAGCGCCAAGTGAAGTGTTGCGTCAGCGCTTCCAAATCCTCTCTGTACGTGACGAGGAAGTCGTCTACGTGGACGATGGCCATGAGCGTGAGGGTCCAGCTTCTAGAAGGAGACGCGCTGCGTCAGGTGAATCATGTTGAGGAGGATGCGAACCACGTGGTTGCACCAAGTCTTCGGCGCGGAAGCAAAACCATACAGGTTTCCACACACCTCGTAGAGGTCAGCTTCAAAGGCGCCGGCCAGCTTCTGTATCCTGTCATGCGGGGCTTTCATGAACAGTGGGAGTTCATGTTGTCCAGCTCTTCCGTTGAGGCCTGAAGCCAGAACGACTTCGGCTGCTCGACATGGGTCTTGCGCGATCCAAACTTGCCCAAGAGAGCCAGGAGTTGCGCTCCTTTTGGTTTGCCTGGACATCGGCTTCGATGACCTCTTTGCCCTGCGTCGTGATGCTTCGCCAGGGAATCTCTCGGTCAAGAGCTTTCGTTCCGGTAAGGTTGCTTGCTTTGGCTTCTTTGGATGGACTTCAGCCATTGTGCCTCTGTCTGCTTGTGTCATCAGGACTGGTCACATCAGCGTCCATTGGTTCTTCTGGTGGCAGCCCGGCCCTGGTCCGCGTTTGTCTTGCCACATGTAAGCAGGGCGCAGCTGTACCACACTGTTGCCGTTGTGAAGCCATGCACTTTTGCCATCCGGATCATGGCTCATCAGTCGGGCTAATATGTAGCCGCCTCTCTTTCTTCGTTTGCTTTCTTTGTCCACCTCCAGTAGGCCGCCAATGGGTGTATGTTTTGCACTTCGCCTCGAGAGGTTGCTGTCTTCCTCAGTACTTAGGGCACGTCTGATGACGTGTGATGCCCAAGGCCTGCGCGCGGGGGCTCCTCATCAAAGGTGAAGTCGCGGTTGGCAAAAACTGCTCTTGTCTCCAAGCAAGTCGCCGGGAAACCTGGGCACTTTGCCGAACACAGGTAGGTAAGGGCTGCGTCCCTGTGAGGCGGCGCTTGTAATGACTGCTTGACACGCGGCCCTCATCAGCACGTCGAGCGCTTGGGCGTCTGACGCGCCTCTTGCATCAATCATCCTCTCGGCAATATGCCTGAGGATGTCGATGGTCCCGATGGCCAAAGGGTTGTAGCCAGAGTTGCGCCCAGCTCGTTGATATCCAATGGTCATATATCTACCAGGCCGAGAAAGAAATGGTTCTGACCCGCTAAGTCGCGGGGGTTGTTGTTGGTTGTTGTGTCCGCTTGCAGGATCCGCACTGAAAATGTTGAAGGCGTGTCAACACCTCGGGTGTGACGTGCCCGTGCAGGGTGAAAACACGGATCATTTCCTGCTTGGATGGGTGGCCTGCTTGATGTGCAGTCGTGCTATCTGGTCTGAAGGTGCCTGGGGATCTTTTGCGGTAGATTTAGATTAGATCTGGGAAAAAAATGTCCGTTCAGAGACCTGGGATGTGCATCTCCGGTCGGGTTTCTTCCGTTGCTGTGGTGCCTGTGTTGTCATCTTCGGCATAGCCATAGAACAGGAGAGCCACTGCAACAGGTTTGGCGAAGCGAGCTTTGGGAAAGTCCATTGTGCTCAGCTCTTCTGACTCAGCTCAAGGGCGTTGTCGTTGTATAGGGAGCGCCGCCCCACGGTACGGTGGGAACGTCCATTGGAAATCGTCTCCTCACGGGTGTGAAGGCTGCTTGCGCTCGAGGGAGCTGAGCTGAGCCACTTCTTTGGGGATGTCATGACCATCAGGTAGGTTCAGGGACTTGGTCGGTGTTGAGCGAAAAATAATCTTCACAGATTCAAGACCAGCTCTCCGGTCCTCGTCGCTCACTGGCTGAGCGTACAGCGCATAGTGAACTGGTTGGAAGCGATGTGGATCACGTTGTTTGGCTCGCTTGAAGTCCCTGGAGGATGGCCTTGACCATACGCTCAGGATAGACCTGAGACTCTGTGGGCGTCTGCCCTGAAGAAACCTGCACTCTGCTCTGTTCTCCCTTGGCACCATCTTCTGGCCAGTGAGACGCGCTTAATTGGAGACCAGGACACGAGCCACAATCGTGGACTGGAAGAGCGCAAGGTCACCACGAGTGACCAGGAGCACTATGGCCTCCGAGGCCAGCGCGATGGACGAGACGGGCGGCGTTCATGAACCACTATACATGACTGAACTCCTCTACTTACGGCAAGGTGGATGGGCGCTCAGAGCGGCGAAAGCGCCAACTTCAGGTGAGAGACTGCAAAAGTCTGTATGACGCTGCGCTCAACCCCAACTCTTCCTTGAGCGAAAAGAGAACTACAAATAGCTGTGAGGAGCATCCAGGACTACATCCTCCCTCGAGATCCTCGACATAGACTCCAAACGGATGATGTGGGCGGACGAACTCACAAAGAGCGCAGAGCTTTTGGCCGCGTTCACTGAGTGGCTTGCTCGACCTTACGTGAAACGGGCGGACAAAAAGTAAAATTACAGCAGTGTGAATTATTCATGTAAAAGCCTTGCGACTGAGCGTTTGTCCACTTGACCTGTCACGTTTTCGCAGACCTTTGAGAAAAGGTGCTTTGTTCGGCCGCACCTTCACTGCCACAAGAGTTTCATTTGGATGGTTGTTTGATGTTCTTTGTTCTTTGTTCTAAATCAGATTTAGGTTGATTGGAAGTAGCAATTTTGTGCCCCGGGATTGCCGTGGGCCGTGGGTGCATTGCAGTGCGTTCTAGACCAAGTCACCTGACAGAAGGAGCGTCAAAAAGCTGGTGTGACAGTAACAGTTCCACAGGACTACCATCGCTTCCACTTTCCGTGCGGCCCAGGGGAGGCCGAGACTTTTGCAAGTTTAAACTTAGCAGCCTTTCAGAGCAATTCGTTTCGAGCCATAAATCAAAGCAAACTTCAATCAAAGAGGTTGCAAGAATGTGGCAGGTGATAGACCAAAATTTCCTGGCCGGCGAGTACTATTCAGTCAACCCCTTAGCCGTCAACAATCCCAATATCGACGTCCTTACCGAGAACTGCAGATCAGCTACTTGGCCATGCAAATGTCACCAGTTGTACTGTATCGCATGGCCCGTATGGTCGTTGAAAAAGCTAGCCTATTTCCCAGTTTGCCCTGGCAAGGACTAACCGGGATATGGTGCACGTGCGTAATTTAGGGTGTGGACTCAGGATAAAATGATTGTTTTCCTTTGGACTTGTCCAAAGCACTGCGTGCGTCAGTTCCCTTCTTTGTGAGTTTGAAGTCAATTGCTCGCCCTTGTGAAAGCCATGACTTTCGACTATTCAACGGCTTTGTCAAAACAAAAGTTTTAGAGGACCCCGGCTAATGTCAGTTGTCTCGGTTGAGGGTTTGCAGATGAGTTTGCTCCTGCAGATTCCGTTCAGTGACCGTGGGCTATCGCCTGAGGTGACCCGGTTGCAGCACCCTAGCTTCGGCCAAGTTGCCTTCGTGGCAGTTGGCGCCACCCTGGTTGGTTCAGTTGAACTGCTGAAAGAGGCCTGCCACCTGTTGGTGTTCCCCTTTCAGCTTGTGCTTTCCTGAGCGGTCTGCGCAGGTGGGATCAACCTTTGCCAAAGGAGACTGCTATGGGTATTTTCAGTACCTTTACATTGCATACCTTTTCTTGAGGCTCCTTTTCAACGAGTTTAATCTCAAGCGAAAGAGTCACCGCTGGAACACCTGGTGTAAGGTATGGGGGCTCCACGTGTTTCTTGGCAGATTTCAGGAAGCGTCGGCTTTCTTTTATATACTTATTTTGGCCCACGCAACACAGTAGACAAAAAGCTTGATTTGTATATATTATATATATATATACACACCGTAAATGTAAACATGAGTGTTGTTTCCATGTCCATGTCCTGTTCATTCTTTTTCCTTCACATGCTTCTATCGTTGCTCCATTCTATTCTGTCATCCGGTTGTGAAGTTTGTCTCTGGTGGGCACTGCAGCCGAAAGATCTGAGGCGTCATTGTAACCGAGCCTGGCGCTGTTGGATGGGACCCTGATTTGCTGGATGCCTCTGCCCGTGGTATAGAGCTGCTTGGCTTACACTTAGCTGGCTTCAGGTGGCATATTGCAGGTGAAGCTTATACGCCCCGCAAGAATCCGCAAGAGGTCTAAAGAAGAGCTCCCGATTTTGTGAACCTGGCAATGCTAATGGATGCAGGTGTTTCTTTGCCTTTGAGGTCCTTTGTCAAAATGGGCGAGCAAATTGGCCTTAGCTGCACTTAGAGACCGAGGTAGCAGGACCAAACATGCAGTCTGCAGAGCTGCTAGAATTGTTCCCAGACATGTGCCTTCCAGAGCAAAAGGGACTATATGAAAATGCTATGTGCAGTTATTCCCCAAACACTGGTAACACTAGGGATTCTTACGGTAGCGGTTAAGGCCGGGGTTTGATTGCAGGGGTGTGTCGGCGAGTCCGGCTAACTCAATGCTATTTACAGTGCACTCATTCGCCTCGAAATCTTCGAAGTGTATGTCGACTCCGCAGGCTCGCAGAATCTGGTGGGTGCGAGCGGGCGCTCTTCGAGACTGTGCTCCGAGACTGCGCTCACTGCGCTCTTCACCTTCACCACCGCCACCACCATCACCACCACGGCCACCGCCATCATCATCGCCACCACCACCACTAACCATCATCACCACCATCACGTCGCTTTGGAGCCCATACTATATCTGTTCACGAAAGGTAGCGGTTACGCTACCTGAGTTGCCTTGCTTTAGCAATGTATTGGGGGTGGTCACGAGCTCCTGTGCTTGATTTCGGTCGTTTAAGAGTTGGTTTTAAATGTCGGGGGGGGGCCCCCCCCCATTCGACTCCACCCTGCGCCGCGGAGAGCTTGGTAGTGATCTGAGCAGAAACAAGCAGCCAGCAGCAGCAGCAAACCAGCAATGCAGCAGTAGCAGCACAGCAAAGCAGAAAGCAGCAGCAGCAGCAGCAAAGCGCCAAAGCTCACACAAGTTTGGCCTCCACAACCCTTCGTTTTCGTTCAGTTTTTGGGGGGTTGCGCAGACGAAATTGAAAGAGGGGGGACAGCAAAGCAGCAGCAGCAGTCTTCAGGATTCAAGCAACAGCAGCAACCAGCAAGAAGTAGCAACAGCAACAGCCAAACAGCAGCAGCAACCAGCAGGAGCAGCAACCAGCAGGAGCAGCAGCAGCAACCAGCAGCAGCAGCAACCAGCAGCAGCAGCAACCAGCAGCAGCAG